GCAAATATGCAAAAGGATACCACCTGGTAAGAGCCAAGTAGAGATGAAGTGTAGCCTAACTCTTGTTCTTTTTACCATTGTTAGTTTATTTGGAAAGTTGGTAGTAAAGGTGCAGCTTCTCTGCATTTCAGTGAGAGTGTAAGACATTTCCACCTTCTATTCAAGATGCTGAGATGGGGTCAAGATGACATGAGCAGACAGACAACTTTAAAGAAGCCAAACCTAGTGTTTTGAATAAATGAGCCCAGAAGCAATGAAGGATCAGAGGAATTACTGAGAACTTATTCATTAATTGCTTGCTCACCTAGCAAAATGTGTTTTTTATTTCTAGACCTCTGGATCTAATGGAGCTGTATCATGGCCCATTGCTCCCTACTTGAATACATGGTCCCTGCTCTGTCCATTCTTTCTACTAGAACACACATGGTTCTAAACTAAAATCACTATACACAATGGGATGGGACTAATTTGGGAATCTCTGGGACCTCGTTAGGATAGAGAGGATAAGAGAGCCCTTTAGTGGTGAACGTAGGTCAACCTTAGTGGTTTAACCAGTGAAGCCAGAAATGGTCGGCCAGAGTTGCTGTCCTTCATGACTGTCAGGGTGCCAAAGAAAAGGGCAACCAAGAAAAGCTGGAGGGAAGGGGATAGCCAAGGAAGAAAAATGGGGAAGGGTGGGGTGACAATAGTGGTAATAAGGTTTGTGGATGAGTGGTTTACATTCTCCCTTCTCCCTGCTGATTGGCTGCTGGGTTGGTTGCATGTGGTGATCTTTCGGGATGCTGAAAGGTAGCATCATCTCCACAGGCAAGCTTCACCCTTAGCCACTTGGAAGGGATTGTTTTATTCTCTTTGTTCTGTTTAATTTCTGACACTAGCTTTAGTTTCTTATATAAATACCATGCCAGTTTGGTAGCTGTGATGGCAGATGACCTTGTTTCGCTCTTGAAACCATCATCCTTTCTGAAGACTCAACTGATGTAGTTTGAGTCCAGGAAAGGTGGGTCAACAAACGTGCACATATGTGTTTGTGATGTATGGGTTTCTATGAGAAACAAAGGGTGTACAGACTGATTTCACAAAGAAAGACACAAAATGAAGTGGGCATTTAATACAGCTGTCTAATTAAGAACTGATATCGTTACTCTGGTCATATTTAACTTAATACTCATTCTTATTACAAAAAAAAATCTAACAAATGATACTTTAAATGCCCAGGGATGACAATACTCCCATGGAAACACAGCAAGGAAAGAGAATTCTGTCTGGACAGCCTCTGCAGACAGATGACCTGGACTCCGAGGCCTTGTCTCAGGATGTGGTCTGGGACATTACTTCCTTCCCCAGCTCTCTAGACCAGCAACCTGCCTATTGCCCATGTGGACTGGGAAAAAGGAGATTCTTAAAGATTTGTATAATCTGTGCTGATCTCTGGGTGTATAAGAAGGACCCAAACATATTCCTGTCATCTCTCTTTATCAAGTAGTTCTTCTCTTTAAGTGACTATTAAAAATATGTGATTTGATATAGATGCAATACTCATAAAGTTCTCAGAAATAAAATTAAATTAAGAAAAATTAATAATAAAAGTTGTGATTTTTAAGGGGTGCCACAAATGCAAAGTGCTTGCTAACAGGATTATTCATGGTTGCATATTAAAAACAGAAATAGATATTAAGGATTTATTTTATAATTTATGTGTGTGCCCATGTTTCTGAGAATGTGGATGTGCATACAGATGCCCACAAAGGCTAGAAAAAGTTGTCAGATCTCTTAGAGCTGGAGCCACCCAATATGGGTGCTGAGAATCAAACTTGGGGTCTCTGAAAGAGCAACATGTCCTCTTAACTACCGAGACATCTTTCCAGTCTACAAGCATAATTCTTAAGAATCAAGCACAATGCCTTAAATTTCTTGATAGCCTTTATTATATGTGATCAAAATTGTGGTCATACTGGAGGGTTATATAATAATCTTCGGCCATGTGGGTTCTCAAATGGCCACGTAATACTTTATTACACTGGTTGTACTATGATTTGTTCAGCCAATCGTGCAGTGTGAAAGATTTATGTACGCTCTAATTATTCAAGACTGAATAACACTGTAATGAAATGAGCAGATGATTTTAGTCATCAGAATCCTGTGGTTGAAATAATTCACACAATAAGGACAATAGGATCTTTAAAAAAACCTTTAATCTGAGGAAGAAGTGAGATTAAATGTTATCTTTTTCATATCCCCTATTTCCTCTCTGATCCTAATTAGAGTAAACCTTTTGATGTGGGAAGCAGACAGAGGTAAAATTATGAACTTTGGTCTGCAGAGTCATAGGGACTCTAAGGTTAAGGTGGACATTCATTTCTCACACAGAAATCTCCCATAAATGGAGTTTCTATTCCATAAAGCTTATATCCCATGATAACATTCTATTATATGTCAGCACTAGGGCAAACCTTTAACAAATGATCAGAGGAAGAAAGGAAGAAAAGGGGGGAAGTAAGCTGGAAGGAGCTGGCCTTAGCAAAGCAGAGGGGACCTGCAAGAGCACCAGGGCTGCTCAGGGCCCCAGAGCAAAGCTGAGCAGGTGTTCCTTCAGTAACTATAATTCACAGAAGGAGGGAAGGAGGGGACAGCAGTGGCAAGCCAGGATCCTCTAAGAAATAAGTATACGAGTAGATGTTTGTCTTAGAGACAAGCAGGAGTCAAGGGTGAATGGCCCCGGCACCAAGGAAGGGGCTTACTTACAAGGTTTGTGAGGTGGCCAGTCTTGAGAGGCATAAATCAGCCTGGAGGATCGAACCCCAGGAGTCCTTCATCAGAACAGGGGAGCTTGTGCCCACCTATCCACCCACAATGCACGCTGCCTGCTAGGCAGGTCCTTAGGAAAGCTCCTGCTGGAGGTTCAGATTCCTCACCCCGCACCCTTTATTTTTATTGTCCAGAGAGACGAAATCAAAAAACTGGGGTGAATGAAAATGCGTGTGGCAGTATGGGTGTCCCTCTCTCTCCTGTTTCCTTGTTTTTGGTGAGACCACTAGGATCCTGTTGTCAAAGAACGCTAGCAGGTCTACATTTCTCAGTCATGACCTACTTCCTCATCAAGACCCTGTAAAGGAGGAGGAGGAAGAGGAAGAGGAGGAGGAGGAACAGAGGAGAGGTGGAGATGAGGAAGAAAAAGACAGCTACAGACTGTTTGCACATTAATTCACAAATCTGAAATCCAAAATGCTGTGAAGATGCCAAATCTCTCACACTGTCATTTCAGATTTTGGCATCTGGTATGTTGAGCAGGAGTTCAGAAGGTGCTTGAAGCCTCAGCTGTACTACTGAGACACTATATAACCTTAGACAAGTCTCTTCCTTAACATTCCTCATTTGAGATTATGGCTAATAAAATCTATAAGTTATCACGAAGATTATACAAGGTGATGTATTTGGCTAGTAGCAGGTATTTAACAACACCAGAGCCCAGTACACACTTACAATGTTTGTACTTACAATGAGTCAAACCTTAGATGAGGAAAATCACCTATAATACTTCAGGCTTACTTATGATTATTAATTATTATTATCAACATATAATGGGGAAGAGAAAAATGAAACAAACAGAAGGAGAATTTGGACTTATGGTAGAACTTAGAGCACCAAGTCTGTTTAAATTATTTCATAAAGAAGGGAATCTAGGGCTGGGGACACAAGAGACCTGCACAAGTTCAAGAAGCTTCCTAAGAGGATCTGGAACAGAATCCCAGTCTTCTGATTCCACTTACAGAAGCCAGGCCATGCAGCTAGATAGCGCTCCCAAGACGAGGTTGCCGCGGGGGTGGGGGTGGGTGGGGGGAGTATCACTGCCATGGGAACTGGTGGCAGACAGCCTCCAAACAGGCCACAACCCTGCTCTGGAGGAGTGTGACTCTCCTCATCCACACTCCATTGCTTTACCCAAAGGCTCTTAATGAGGAGGGCATCCTCATGCCTTTGATTTCTGAGATTGTCATTGAGAGTCAAGCAAGCTGACAACCAGGCAGGAAGTCCCGGATTAGAGTTAATCCCCTTGCTTTACAGACACTCATCTGAAAGTGACTGTGGGCCCCCTGGAGATGAAGCAGAGCCACCTTCTGTGAGCTCACCCGGCCTTGATCTACCCAGAGAATCTCAGTTTAGAAAACATTATCTTTGCATGCTTTTCCCTGATAGGCACTGCAACGACCCACAGTGGTTCTGACAAGTGTCAGAAGAGCCCATGGATTGGTGTTGGCTTCTTAACGCGCTTCCCAAACCAAAAAAAAAAAAAAAATCAACTTAATTAAGTGGGGTTACTTTTCTTCCTGAGCAGCAATCAAACCTTAATTAATGCCCTATTAAAATGAATTCCTAGGGGAACATAAACAAGAGTTCCTATGCCAAGGATGCTACCACACGAGATGCTAAATGGACCTCCTTCCTGTCCACTTACTCAGTGGCAGAGTGCCCCTTGGTAATCAGAAATGGAAAGCAATCACAGGCTTGCCACCTCCTCCTCCTAGGGGACCTCCACCCTGCCAAGCACTTTGCAGGCCCCCCACCCCAACCACTCCCCTCTCCTTTCTCCAAGTGATGAATGATTCTGTTTTGGAATTATCCAGATGATGCGAGGGACAACTCAGTCCCACTTCCCTTACTGCCCATCATCTCTGTTCCAGACAACGTAAACATCAATTTCAATACCCGCCTCCCTGACCCTGAGCCACAGACCCTAATGGCGAAGACTCAATGTTTTAAAGGATCTGTAAAACAGAGCTAGACAGATGGCTTGGTGGGTGGGAGTGTTTGCTTCCAAGCCTGATAACCTGAGTTTGAGCCCAGGACCCACGTGCTGGATGGAAAGAGTTAACTGGGGCAGGATGACCCCTGACCTCCATAGTTATGCAATGGTACACACAGTGTTCTACCCCCCCAATAACTGTAATAACATTTTTATTTTAAGAAACCTGTAATGTCAGAATATACTTGCAAAGTCGAAATGCTCCTTGCTGGTAGCAAGACACCTGATCAAAGTACCGCAATTGATTTCTGACAGGAAGAAGCAACGAAGAGAAACAGGTTATATGGTAGGACATTTTTGTTCTTATAGCTCCTCTTTCACCTCCTATTTCTATACCAAAGGTTTTGGAATTCCTTGAGCTGCGGGCAGAACGTTCCAGTTTAAGTCCCTAAAACCACCTGCCTCTATCGCTCTTCCTTCTCTAGAGAGGATGGGAGAGGATTTGGTAGTGACCTAAAAGCAGGTTATCAGACACAGAACGCTTAAAGGCTACTATCCCATAGCCTCTTAGGAAACTGGGTAGGAGTGCAGTCCACTTTCCCAGGAAGCCCAACTAACCCACCCACCCAGGGGGCAGCACAGCTTCTCACCCCTTACCTCTTTGGTGTGTGTGTGAAAGGAGACTGACATGTCCAGGAGAAGCTTCCGCTGCTCCACCCTGCGCACGAAGTCTTGGATGCGCACCTCCAGGTGTCGGGCTGCCTTGTAGATCTCCTCCGGATCACATTCCCCAGTCTGAGCCAGCTGCTCCGCTGCTTCTAGGAGCTTGTCCGCATTGGTGTATGTATTCTGCCAGCAACAACAGTGAGGCAAAGTCAACTTGCAGCCAGGGAAGAAGCTTCGCGCCTTCTCACAGCCCACCCTGGGACTCCCAGAAGAGTGGGCACAGAGGGCGGAGGGAGGCGCTGAGCCGACAGCTCCTCGATCTGGCACCACTCTGAGTGCGCGGAGCTGGCACCTCGCCTCCTAGCAAGCAAGGAGTGGGCTGCTACACACAGCGGGCACTGGTTAGGAGCCTTGCCTGCATCTGGGATGTCTCAGAGGTGCAGCGTTCCTAGAGATAAGAAGGGAGGCCTGTGAAAACCCCCATATCCCTTTTGCTCCTAATTCCCCTCACAGAGCCCCTTCATGGTCCTCACATCTCAGTCTGCTTCTGCCAGAGTCAGAAATAGCACATCCACAAGGATGCTCTGTGCTTCTGTATGAGAGCCATGAAAACACCAACTAGGAGGCTTGCTTTGCCCCCGCCCCCAGCTCCCCACCACTCTGCTGTTTATCTTTGGGAAAAGAACTAGCTCCTTGGAAGTAAGGGAAGCAGGCCACAGGCAGGGGGAGGAAATATAGATTAGCTCCTATGCGCCTGTGAAGGGTACATGCTTGCCGGCTGCTTAGCGAGGGAATCTGGTGGACTTGACTATCATGAGCTACTGTGTCCCATGCACACACAGGTGCACTCATGCCTCCGACACTGTCTGTACACAGGGTGGTATTCTCACAAGCGTTTAAAAAGACAAGCCACTTGCAATTATTGCTCATCACGACGGCAGCCAGAGCTTTTAAAGTAGTTATTACATTGTGTGTCATGAACACAACTCTTCCTCATTGGTTTACTCTTAATACCATTCTGACATCCAGTCTGTGACTCTGACACACATAAATTTACCCATCTCCCCCAGGTCGGCACACTGCCCTATGACCAGGAACTGGTGCTGACTGGCTATGAGGACCTAGAAGTAGAAGTCACCAGCAAATACAAGGTGAGTCGAGATTCAAAAGAGGCGACAGCCAAAACTGTACAGAACTGGTTTTGACTTCCCTGGGGATCTGAGTGTCAAGGGATGAATTATGGCCTAGAAACTAACGCCAAGGATGGCCCTCAGAAGGCTACTGACCCAGCCTCTCCACTGCTGAAAACACCAAGCTGGTGATTAGGAATTCCCAGAGAAGTCCCAAGACATTCTTAAGAAATACAGTTGGGGCAGCAATGGCCCAAGGCAAGCATTGTCCTAATGTCAGCCAGATAGGGTTCAAAGGAAAAATCATTTGTGCCAGCTAGGCAATTCATGAAAAAGCAACAACAAACAGACTAGCCTAATGTAAAGAAAGGGGCTCCTCTCCCCAAACCTAAAGAATGTTCACTCTAGACAGCAAATGAAAGAAGCCGTTCAGAGCCACTGGAGAAAGGCAGAGATGAGGGGGAGAGGTAAGGGAGGCCTCTGAGTTAGTGGACCAAGTCTAAAAAAATAGTTTCTTAGGGTGTTGGACACAATATCCAATCCAATAGACCTATATTTCTTGAGGAAGATTTTTTTCAAGAATTCTTAAATTCCTGCCTTGAACCCTAGAGAATCTCAGAAGTACAAAGAAACTTGAAGTTAGAACTCTACATTTAATCCACTAAATAACATTTTGTTGCAAAGCTCACAAAATAAATGTGTTTTTTTTTTTTTTTGCTTGTTTGTTGTTTTTGTTTGGTTTGGTTTGGTTTTCAGTAAGGATTTCTCTGTGTAGCTCTGGCTGTCCTGGAACTCACTTTTTAGACCAGGCTGGCCTCGAACTCAGAGATCTGCCTGACTCTGTCTCCCGAGTGCTGGAATTAAAGACATGAGCCACCACTGCCTGGCTGAAATAAGTGTGTTTATAAGTTGGATTTAAAACCAATAAGATGGGGAGAAGCAAAGCAAAGTGGAAGCACCTGTTTCATGTAGGGTGCCCAGTGCATCCTTGTTTGCAAAAGGTTTTACTGGTTTTAGCACAGACAGTTCTGGTCCCCAGAAACCTTCTAATTCTAGGGAAAAACAGGCCGGCTGGTCACTTTAATACTAGCAGCATTACAAGCATCCTAGGAGGACAGAAGCATGTGACATCTACTTCATTCTAGGAGAATAAAGTCACCGTGGAGAGAAACAGCACATAAACAAGGCACCAGCATAACAGATAACTGGGGGCTGGTGTTTCTTTTTTTTAATTGATTTTTATTAAGCTCTACATTTTTCTCTGCTCCCCTCCCTGCCTCTCCTCTCCCCTTCAACCCTCCTCCAAGGTCCCCATGCTCCCAATTTACTTGGGAGATCTTGTCTTTTTCTACTTCCCATGTAGATTAGATCTATGTAAATCTCTCTTAGTGTCTGCATTGTTGTCTAAGTTCTCTGGGATTGTGATTTGTGGGCTGGTTTTCTTTGCTTTATGTTTAAAAAGCACTTACGAATAAGTACATGTGATAATTGTCTTTCTGTGTCTGGGTTACCTCACTCAAAATAATGTTTTCTAGCTCCATCCATTTGCCTGCAAAATTCAAGCTGTTATTTTTTCTGCTGTGTAGTACTCCATTGTGTAAATGTACCACATTTTCCTTATCCATTCTTTGGTCGAGGGGCATTTAGTTTTTTTCCAGGTTCTGGCTATGACAAACAATGCTGCTATGAACATAGTTGAGCACATGTCTTTGTGGCACAATTTAGCATCCTTTGGATATATACCCAAAAGTGGTATTACTGGGTCTTGGTTGTTCCCTAATTTTCTGAGAAATCACCATACTGACATCCAAAGGGGCTGGACCAGCTTGCATTCCCACCAGCAATGCAGAAGTGTTTCCTTTAGCCCACAACCTCTCCAGCATAAGTTGTCATCAGTGGTTTTGATCTTGGCCATTCTTACAGGTGTAAGATAGAATCTCAGAGTTATTTTGATTCGCATTTCTCTGATGACTAAGGATGTTGAACATTTCCTTAAGTGTCTTTCAGCCATTTTAGATTCCTCTGTTGAGAGTTCTCTGTTTAGGTCTATACTTCATTTTTTATTGGATTATTTGCTCTTTTGCTGGCCAATTTCTTGAGTTCCTTGTATATTTTGGAGGTCAGCCCTCTGTCTGAAGGAGGGGGAGAGGCTGAAGTTTCTTGACAAGGTACAGGTGCTAAGACGAAGATGACTACCAAGTAAGGAGAAGAATGGCTAGGGTAAATAGGTGTTTTCACCTTGCCAAGAACTGTCCTAAAATCTTACACATAGTTCTCCTTTAATTCTCACGATAACTTGGGAATTAACCACAAGGAATTGCTGGTTAAGGGTACACAGCTTCAAAACAGTAGAACCAGCATTACCCTGCCCTGTCTTTCCCACAGTAGAGGCAGGCATTTGTGGATAGGTTATGGCTTGTCAAAAGAGGAGAAAGAAGGTCCAGAAACAAGACACTTTCTTCCTGCCTAGAGGACTGTATGTTTATCCTGTACCACAGCCATTATCACACAGTAAAGGAACCACGTGTGTCCAGGCCACCTTGTATTGTCATATGAACCCTGTAAAGGAGGGTTCTATATCTTATTCATCTTCAGCACCCTTAGACCAGACACTAGGTCTGGTCCACAGTGAGTATCTATCTACTAACTGTTTATGGAGTGGACAAGAATAGAGGCGTGTGAGTGTGGAATTGCCCAGATAGCCGAGTCAACCTAACTAAAATCGGCTGGGTCTGTGCCTAACCTTTTCCCCGACTATTACCTGAAAGAGCTTCTCAAATTCAACCCAGCAGATCTCCTGCCTACTTAAAAGAGTTTAGTGGTTTCCCATCCCCGTGGGACAGATGCCTTAGCATGGCATGTGGGGCCTTTCTTCATCCAACCCTGGTTTTCCCCTTCTGCGTTAATGCACATCACCCTCCTATAAACAATCTGTAGATAAACTGCTTGCCTTTCCAAAACCGCTGACAATGACCACTTGTGGTGGTAGCATCTATTTCTTCTGGTCGAGATGCACGTCCTTTGTTTTTCTACCTGACTGACTCTCACTCCCCTCTTAATACCCTGCCTCAGCATCACTTCCTCTAGGAAGTCCTCCCTTATACCTACTGTTTTTCTGGAGGCTGAAATACAAGTCCTTTTCTGGGCTTCTGAAAAAGTGATCTATACCGTCCCTCACTCCTATGGTACCTGCCATATTCTCCCTTGCTTAGGTCCAGATGATGTCTTCCATCTTTTTTTTTTATTACTTAGCACCAACAAAGTGTTCCATAAATATTAGTGAATAAATTAATAAATCAATCAATCCTCACCAATTCTAATATTCTACTCTGATCTCCATAAATTATCTGATATAAGACTTTACGTGTTAAAACCCATGTTTTGTTGTTCATTCTCAACTAGCTGATCCTATCACCTGGTTCATTCTTGAAATAAGAACCTGTTTAGAAGATATCAACTGAAATATTACCAAAGACATACACTGACCCGAAATCGGGACAAGTATTGACAAGAGACTTAAGCTTACCTTCTCATCAAGTCAACAATGGGTACTGCCCCGGGCCAGACTTGACCTCATTCTGACACAACTGTTGGCATGTATCAGTGCCCCAGTCTTAGAACCATGCCTTGGCCTTGAGCCCTTGCCTATGTTTCCCACCTGGCATGCCAAAAAGTCATTCAGGGCTGGGATTTTGATCTCTCAGCTGTTGGGTCTTTCATAGAGGGCTTCTGGTAGCCAGAGCCCCTGAGTCACAGATTTGGATCATTCAGTTGGTTACAGGCTCTTTTATTGCTCCCACTTCCTCTCTGCATCAGACAGGTAAAATAGTCCCCATAATTTAGCTCTTAAATCTATGTTCGGCTAACTCCTAGAGTCTTGCCTCGTTACCTTTTTGTTTGCTCCCTAGGGATGCAATGAAGCATTCTAGGCAATTTATCGACAACTACAGGAACTCCAGCAGCACAGACATTGCTTCCGATTTCTTGGGACAGGGCAGATACGCCTTTTAAAAGCAAGGGGTGGAAGAGATACTGGATGAAAACCTGTGTGTAATTAAGAGTCAGTTTCCTTGGTAATACAGAACTAGTTCTTTGGGAGGAGAAGGTACGAGGCCTAGAAGGACTTCTTTTTATTCAAAAGTACTAGTGCATCCTGGAACGCAGGCCAGGTGGAGGACCAGTAAGGGATACCTCCCTGACACTTCATGACTATTGGCCCCACAGCTGGAACCAACATGATTTGAAGGACAATACGCAAAGGAGTACATGCACCGAGGTGAAAGAAGCCACGGAAATATGGGCACTGGGAGAGCAGACTTGTTGATAAGTTTGATTATGAACTGTAACAATCAAGATCATGCCACAAACCTTACACTGGGATAGCGCTTTACAGATGAAAATAAAATCTGCTCCTTCTTTACCCTTTCTGGATGGATCAATCTCTGCACATGAAGGTACTTGAGGCTAAAAAAGAGATCACCAAAAGGGACTGGACAATGGTACCCAGGATTCACACAGGGCTAGGCATAGTCTCTGTTCCTACCACTCAGCCCTAAACCCTCTGGACTCACAGGATATTGGTACTCAGTAGGTCTTGCTTTGAACAGGTAAACTTACACACTGCTTTGGTCTTGCTTATCAAATTTTAAGGCTTAAAAGGATCAAACTTTTCCCAAGCCACTTAACTTCCCAGAGAACTTAAGAGATTTATAAAACTAAAAATACTCAGCAAAGGCCAAGGCAAATTTCACACTGTCTAGCATAGAAAAGAGGAAGAAAAAAGTCAGCAGGCCTGCAAAAAACAATGTGGAAAACAACCCATGTGAAGAAAAAAATACATCACTCAAAACAGACACAGAATTTACATATGTTAAAAATAGTAAAAAATGATAAATAAAAATAATCCGCTGTCCACGCATTTCACATATCCAGAACATAGAAGACAAGACATAGAGCAGTTTAACATTTTACTCTTAGTGACAGCAAAGGCACTGGGTCACATTAGCAGCAGATTAGACAAC